ACATTTGAGAAATGACTCAAGTCTACCAGTAAATGAGTAAAAGAAAACAACTTGAAGAGTATATGATGGGTTGGGCACAGTGGCTCACACCTGTAATCCCAGCACTTTGGGAGACAGAGTTGAGAGAATAATTTAGGCCAAGAGTTTGCAGCCACCCTGAGCAACCTAGTGAGACCCTGTCTCAACAATTTTTTTTTTTTTTAAATTAGCCGAAGTGTGGTGGCATGTGCCTGCAGTTGCAGCTACTCTGGAAGTTGAGGCAGGAGGATTGCTTGAGCCCAGGAATTTGAGGCTGCAGTGAACTATGATGGTGCCACTGCACTCCAGCCTGGGTGACAGAGGGAGATCCTGTCTCTTAAAAAAAAAAGAGTGAATGACACTCATTTTCTATTGGTGTAAAAATGTTTATGATGAACCAAAAATGACACAGATAGTGAACAAATGCAGAAGGCTCACACATTATGAAGAGCAGGCTCTGAATATAGAGACCATAAATTGCCATTTGCTCATAGTCTCAGTGGAATTATTAATATCATCTCTTTTCATTTTCAGGAGAAACCTAGTTTCCTCCTCAGAGGGAATCCAGGAATATAGCTAGTGGGGAGGATATAAACAGTATTTGGCTCATATTAGGCACTCAATAAATGGTACAATTTGATGAATTAAAAAAGGAGAGTTTCTGTCATGACTCCACCAACGATGTAGATATGCACGTGTGCATGTAACTGTGTGTCGATGTGTACGTATTGTGTGAAAAGATACCTTTTTATTACATAGCAGTGTTCTAATAAATGATCTAATGTAGAAGTAGGAAATCTGGGCTGGAAGTTTAGGGAGGCAGGCAACTGGCATCTGAAACATTTTTCTATTGAAAGCTCAAATTCTACCACTAGTTTAGGGTGCATTGCAAAGTTCTGCTCCATTAAAATGCACAGGTAGTGACAGCTTATTCAATCAAAATATAAAAGTAAGGAGATTTAGGATTTGGTTAGAGCTTGTTGAAGGGCAAAGGGAAGGATAAGGATAGATGTAATAATTCAAGAACAGGGGAGCATCTAGTGGGTATTGCTAACAACACCTGTACTGAGATTTTCACAAATATCAGAGTAGCATCCACCAGATGAGCACTTATTAGGAATGGAGTGCAAAGATAAGAAAATAAAGAGGAGTGAGAGTTTTATGAAATGTCATTTTCCCATGCCATTGGTCATGCTTGATTAAAGAGATTTTTTAGTGAGTTGAGTCCTACTGAGACAGCTTATTGGGGTTTCTTTTTTCCCCATTTATTTTATTGCATTTTAAGTTTTGGGGTACATGTGAAGAACATGCAAGATTGTTGCATAGGTACACACGTGGTAGTGTGATTTGCTGCCTTCCTCCCCATCACCTACATCTGGCATTTCTCCCCTTGCTATCTCTCCCCAGCTCCCCAGCCCCCACCGTCCCTCCCCTATTTCCCCCCAACTGACCCCAGTGTGTAGTGCTCCCCTCACTGTGTCCATGTGTTCTCATTGTTCAACACCTGCCTATGAGTGAGAACATGCGGTGTTTGATCTTCTGCTCTTCTGTCAGTTTGCTGAGAATGATGGTTTCCAGGTTCATCCATGTCCCTACAAAGGACACAAACTCATCGTTTCTTTTAATTAAAGTATCTCTAGATTTTATACTAAAGTTTTAATAAATGTGTAGAATGCTACCATATTATATTACCAATTAGAGAATACATTCCTGAAACTATCCATGAAGCTTTGTTAAAATATTGCGAAGGATTAGTTCACATTTTTAAAGCAAACAAAGAGAAACAGATTTTATAGTATATGTATATATATTGTAGGTTCCAACAAAGGATGCATCTATAGAAGTTTTACAGTTATATTTATTTTCATTTGGAGGAAACAGCTTATTTTAATAACACTAAAATTTTAAGAAAGTCTAAGAAATCCCAGCCTTTAAATATATAATATAAATACATACAGTAATAAATAAAATGATAAATGCATTTTAATTCAGCAGTGTAAAATACAGAATATTTCCACACCATTTGCATTTGATTTTGTTCTTATATTTTGGTATGCTTTTTGTTAGAAATACATGACTAACACTCCTATATCATTAAGCTTTTTATTGAAAAAAATATTATTGCATTGAACTACAGTCCAAGTAATTTATTGAATAACCTAAAAAAGCTGCTTTGCATGTACAATAGTGCAATTTACTTAGCCACAGTATAGTTTAAAAAGACAATTTATACAGAAAATGCAAAATAAAATTATTGGTTTATGTATCATATTGCCAGAGGTTCACCAAGTTTAATTACAAATTAAGTACTTAATTAGAATTAAGACGGGAATTTGCTTTAAACAGCTACACAACCAATTTACATTGTCAACTATTTTATCTCACATACTGAAGGAAATAACAATTTTGTTTGGGAATAAGAAAGCTCTTCTTGAAGTTATTGTTTCAATATGTGAATATGTTTTGGAAAACACTGTTTTGAACAAAGATCAAGATCTACAATAAAAGACTAAAGAGTATTTTTATTAAAAACACACACATTCACACCCACGTGTGCACTCATACACATTTTAAGTTTCCCAATTTGCCTGATTTTACTTTAATGTTTCTCACAAGATATTCTTACTCTTGCTATTTAAGAAAAATGGGGGGTGTGGTTGGCAGAGGGGTTGCATAAAAAGGAAGTGACTTTGAGAAAAAGAATTTAAAAAGTGGATTGGGAGCACCCTTTCCTATATGTAGCTCCTATATGAAAATGACCCTTTGGCTTATTCTAAACCTAACCCATTCAGGGGCTGCTTCCATTTAATATAGCTTAATCCAAAGATACAACAATTGCCTTCAATGTCTACCTAATAGAAGAAGCGGATAATATTTTTGCTGGAATGAAATGATAACCTTAGAAAATCCTCTAGACCCAGGCTTATTGGCAGCAGAATTTGTATTTTAGTAGGAAATTCTCGTCTTATTGAAGTGGTTTCAGTCTGAGCCACAAAGGGCAATTATCTGTTTTCCCAACTATTGTGTGGAGCTAGTCACTCACTTGCTTTTTAATAATGTTTTTACTTGCCAACGAGAGCACATTTCTCTTCATGAGTTCATAAAATTTAAAGAATCAAAACTAAACCATTTCACAAGCTTTGCTGGGCTAGAGATGAGCACTAGGTCCATTTTATCCTTAAGTATCTTAGCTGTATACATTGATATGTAAGATTTAGATCTCTTAAATTGTGTTTTTACAAAACTGGATCTGATATTTATATATATTTTCAAGAATGTTAACTATGTTTCTGAAAACCCAGAAAGAAACTCTGAAAATGTGAATAACTTTTTAGAAAATCTTAAGAAATGTGCTACTAATTTGAGATGATCAGCCATATTATTTCACCACTAAGGAGTCAACTATCCACACATCCTGGGGAGAGTGTCTGGACGTTTCATTCACGTACATGAAGAGCACCTGAATACCAAGTGGTATCTTAATGGATAGACGATCTCCACATCTTCAGTTATTGTTTCAAATGTTTTGAAACGTATAATGTTTTGGGATCAGCTTGAAAGTATGGTGGTAAAATTCAGAAAGCTGTGTTGCCATCAGCATTTACAACTGTGTAAGTAGTAACTTCATGCACTAAGGAGATAATGAGATTCCGCAATAGAATCCTGAGTAATTTTGCCGGTTAAGTGTTCCACTTAACAGAAATGTTTTACAGAATTAGTGTCTTAGAGTATATTTCCATTCAGAAATAACAGAAAGATTCCATTAAGTCCTGGCAGAAACTAAAGAAAAGGGGTCACTGTTAAATCCATTTTAGGTAGATGAAATAAATTTCAAGGGATCATTTTGTAAAATGTCTACCTAAGCAAAAAACTCTGGGAATTGGAGACTTTCTAAATCATTCTCTATATTCTAATAATTTCCAATATTTTATTTATAATGCCTTAAAGGTAAACCTTAAGTTCACCTTTACATTTTTATAGGCCCATTGTATTTTTTTTTTTATTGCTGAATTTGGCAGGGAATTATTAAGAAGATGAACTTCCCCAAATTTTCAGTTCTTCATACAAAGCACTTATTTTGTGTAACTGTACCTCAAATTCAATGATACTATCTGATGTTAGACTGGTTTATAATCTTTAAGAAAACTATATAGATAAGTGTATGTTTGTGCGTGTGTGTGTGTGTACTTGTGTATAAGATTTCACAGCCTTTCTTAAGCATTTAGAGTTTGAAAGAGGTTTTTATAAACTGCCTCCATAAGCCACTTGTGAAACAGTGATTCCATAAAGAAAATTACCCTGTAAATATCAGGCAATAGTCATAAAATAAATTTAATGCTCAAAGTCACCTGTCAAATAATTAAATGGAAGGAAATACTGCTAAAAATACAATCCATCACAGTGACAATTTTTTTAATTGAACTAATTTAAAGTTTAATATATATTTAAAATTCTTTGTTTTATTTTTTTCCCGGAATGTGTTTCTCTTAAGGTAAAATAGAAAACAAAACTGTGTTTCAGCCCACAGTTATTGATCTGCGGGGCGTTAGTTGCATATTTGCATTTTTCCTCATGTGATGCCACAATTTTTCCAATTTCTCACTCTGGAGTAAAAATTATCTTTTATTTAAAGGGAGAAGTCTGCTTTCTACATAGTCCAAATTAGTTTGTCTGGTGAACACTTCATCACTGTTAATACAAGATGGAATAGTCATTTCCATGTCATCCGTTCATATCAATCTGTCTTTATTAGTCAAAATTAAGTGCTCAGTAGAGGTGCTCTGGTCTAACTTGAGAGTTTAAATTGTCACCAAGACAATTATTAAAATCAATCAGATGGCTAGTGTTTTTATAACAGGACTTCTAGTGAGTTCTCATGATTATCTTGGCTGTGTACCAGCTTTGTAATTTTTTGATTTAGGAAATAATTTTTCACATTACTTAAAAAAAAACCTGCTAGACCATTTGTCATCCATTTTATAAGAAATATTTCATTTATCTCGCTTCTTTCTGGATTTACTCATTGTCATCAATGGTCTTTTATAATTATTTTCATGGAATTCCATGCAAGTATAGCTTCTTGATATTTGATGGTTTTTCTTCATTTTTCCAATCCTTTTAAATTAATTAGATTTTGTCACTGTTACATACCACTCAGAACTCTTATCTCACAAGTTTCTGATGATATCTTAGAAACTACAGTTTTTCTTTCTGTTAAAACTTCAAATTTATTTTATCTCCTTTTATTCTTTTTATTCTCTCCACTCTTTCTCTCTCACCTCTCACCTCTCACCGTCTCTCCTGAATCAAAGATGTCCTTTCCTACTGTTTACCAAGCATTTAGTATTTAACTTTTCTACTTCATTTTCCTTATCTATAATAAGGAATCATAATACTGATTTAAAAATACAGTTGTGAAAAGTAAAGAAGATAATGCAAACCAGTGGTTAGGGTGACTCTACCTGAATCACAACAGACCTTAAGTAAATATAGCTGTCTTCATTTTGAAGCCAAGGCTGAAGAAGACATCCTCTAATCTTCTAGTGGTAGAGGAGTTTGCATCTTCGTATAGGCAGCATTATTAGATAAATGACCACCTCCATTTCTGTTAAGTTTGATTTCTCTGAAACTCAAGCTTAAGAACATAAAATAATAAACCTAACTCTAGGATCATGCACCAATATAGATGTATGAAATAAAAATTTTGTGGGCCAAAAACCATTTTGAATGTTTGAAATTGTTTGCAAAATTACATGTATGGTGATTTTATTCATCATCATTCATTGTTCCATAAATATCTAGCACAATTGAATAAAACACACCAGATATTTAATATCTTCAAGAAACATGTAAAAACATCGACATTTTCAAACCTTTACTTCTATCCTTACAGGTATATTAGCTGAACATAGTAAAACTTTTGAGTAGAAGAATAATAAACACTTAACATCTTAATTCCTGTACTATTTGATAGATTGACCAATATATTGAAAAGGTTATTCTGAGTACATTTTAGAGTTTGCTTTATCAAATACTAATGATAGTTGTATCTTTTTTAATACAAAAGTTAAACATTCTTAGTTTTAGATTTTGCTGATTCTTATACTTACAAAATTATCTTGACATAGATTTATGTGAAATGAAGGAGGAAATTTATTTTTCACAGAAACTCAAAAGTACAATCTATAAAGATTGTTTTTACTGAAGTATAATTTCAACCTAATCAGAAAATGTTTTGTTCTTATTTCCTATGAAAATACAGTAACGGAGTACATTAATTGAAAACTTAGTAGTTAACCATAGAAATTACTTTTAATAATCGCTTCATTTCACTGACCTTTTATTATCTAACAAATAAGCCAAATCAACACTCATTCATTCTCATAACAAACACTTAGAATACAGGGTGCCATATTTCATTTGATTTTTCTTTTTAATTTTAATGCTCTGCTTGAATGGTTTCTGTTGCTATTTTATAACATTACGTGAAAACCCATCCAAAACAAATCTTTCACCCTTTTCCCTCTTCCCTATACCCTTTCATAAAATTATTTTAAATTTGCCTATTATTTTGGCAAGCTAAAAAATTATTAAAATGCTCTTGTTTTAATATTGGCAATTCAGGTCATAATTATGTATTGGTCACATTTTGAATTGGCAGCAATATTTTAAATCTTATAATTGATAGACTGTTTTAAATATATTATTTTATAGATAGTGAAAATTAAAAAAAATTATCCACAAGAGGGACTTTAACACTTATTAGTTCAAGTGCATGGACACATTTAAGGCCTCTTTTACTTCATTTAGCTGTTGCATCTGGCTAGAGCAAGAATGATGGCAAAGATCTTGACCTTGGAATACCGGTTGGATTAAAGGATTCAAGTGGATGATAGAAGTTGTGGCTGGGTTTAAGTGAGGGCCAAACAGTGTAGGAATAAATGCTGTAGGGGGCAGGGGCTGAAGTGTTATGTGAGATGGGTGGAAGGGGGTAGCTGCTACTAAATGCAGGGGATGACCTGCTAGGAAGGTGGGATGTGCAGGGATAATGGTTGGAGTCAGAGTCGAAAATGAAATAGGAGTGAAATGTGCCTGTGAAAGAGGATGAAGATGAGCAATAGGGAGGTGACTGCTATGAGAACTTAAGGAAGCAGAAACAGCAAAATGCTGCAGGAATGTGTGGTGAATGGTGGTGACAGAAGTGTGCTGGTGAACTGGAACGGTCTGTATGGTTGAGGCCGGAGAGAAGGCAGGTCCTGCAGCAGGCAAAACTCGAAGATGCTTTGATAGGAGTTGCTTCTGCATATGCTGCTGGGCTTGTAGCTGTAGGATCTTATATTTATCTATTTCGTCAGGAGAAAATGTTATGGGCTGTTGAATTAAAGGGGGAGAGATAGATTTATGATACATTTCTAATTCGTCTTCGACTTTGTCAGCCTTCTGCATAGTTTTGTCATAGGAAGAGTTTATATTTCCCTCCGCATGATTTATATGCATGCTTACATCCTGTAAGTCTAGATTTATTTGGTCTTCTTTGGTCTCTGTGGAATCAGTAACACCAGTATACCTATTAGATGGAAAAGCACCAGGGAATTCATTTGGCACTGGGTCACAGCTTTGAATAAAAGGTTGGATTTCACCAATTAAAAGTTTTGATTGTTGTTTTGCTATTGGATTCCTTTCTATGTTTAGTGACTGAGACTCTGTTACCAGGTGAATTATACCCTTAGAAAGATGGTTATCACAATCAGTGTCTGCTAAAATTGTACAACTATCTGTCTGTGAACTTTTGCTTTTGTCTTTCTCTGTAGTCCTTGGAATTGCACTGTCTTGATCATTTCTGCTCTTACTTGCATACTGTATTTTTTCAGACAAAGGCAATTCTTCTCTGTTACAGCCTGATGGTACAAGCTGAATTGTGCATGGGACTTGCGAATGAGCCTCTAATTCATTTTTACAACTGCTTGAAGAGACCTCAACATTGCTTGATTTTTCCTGACATTTCTTGGCTTGTACTCTTTCTAAAAGGCTTTTTGCTGTTAGAGGGGTCCTCTCTGCTTCTGTAATGTTTAATTCTGTGCTTTCTGGAGGGCCACTGGAACAGTTGTTTAGAAGGCAGCTGATATTCCCGGAGTTACAATTCATGGGCCTGACTTTTCCAAGATCACAAATGTGGGGGCTGCCCAAAGACTCTTGATTTCTCTTGCTTTTATTCAAGTAATAAATTTTCTCTCTTGAGTAAGAGTCCAGTCTGTCATGCTGAGTTCCCTGGCAATTAGGTGGTTTTTCACCACTTCCAGTACAGGAAATCTGTGAGTTAGAATCACAATAAATGATTCTTGTAGATTTTGGCCCTGAAAATTGTTGTTGATTTTTGCCCAGTTTTTGTCTTTCTCTGCAGTGACAATATCTACGTTTTGAGTATTTTTCATTTTTAAATGATTCCCACAATTTGCAGTTTCTCTCTTTCTGTGTTTCAGATGGCATTTGGTTGCTCTTAGTTATTTCATCAGACAAGTAGAGACAGTTGTGCTTTCGACATTTCCGTTTGTGCCTTTCAACTGAACTGTGTTGTCTTTTACAGAAGCAGAGCAAATTACCTCTGCTATTACCATTGAATCTATGACTTGAACAAGTACTTCTGAGGCTGGACATGCTGCTAGGGGATGTTTCCGAAGGGTAAGAATGCCTATTCAAAGAAGACTTTGGAGAGCATCTCTTGTATCTTCGGTTTCCACATCCAGAAACCTTGCTGGTCATGCTGATGTGGTTGCTCTTCAGAATTACACGGAAGTCTTTCCCATGGTCACTGTGACCCTCTATCGTATAAGGACTGGACTTGCAGTTGAATTGCCTTTCATCTTCAAACTGTGATCGAGGATTGCAAGAAATCAGTTTATGCTTTTTAGTCCTAGAGATGTAGGTAGGAAAAGATAGGCCCTCATCCGTATCATTTAGAACTACCTTTCTGCAGCCTTGCCAATGCGCCCCTGTGGGTTCTTTAAGTTCATTCTCACTATGGTTATTCTTTCCAGCACAATCCTTTAGAGACATATTGAGGTAAAGAGGCACTTCAGGATTTTTCATTTCCAAATCATTTGCACTAAAACTATATTCACGCTTATTTGGCTCAGAATCACTGTAGTCCAAATTATATTTTCTTTGGAATTTTTCCCAATCCAGATTACCTATCATCATCTTTGGTTTCAGATATTCATTCTCTTCTTGGTTCAATTTTTGTTGGCCTTTGATTAAACCTGAGACTTGGCTCTCTCTTTTAGTCTTCACTTCCAAGGGCTTCTCACCCAATTCTGTTTTTAAGTCCTTTGGATTGTGGCCGTCCTTTGTGTTCCGAGAAAGCTTAAAATCAAAATACAGTGGGTTGCAGCCATAAGAGATACAGGGTTCTGTTTTTGTAAACAGCAGAAGTTCTGTAGGCCATTGAAGAGTGGTGTGGCCATCCTTGCTTTGAACGTGGAGAAAAGGCAGTGATTTAGATGTCACATTATGGGTACATGCTTCTCTTACAAGTCTTTGAACATTTTTGCTAACTCTTTCTGTTTTATCTAAAGATTTTTCTTTGTTCTCTATTCTGGAATTTGGATTCAGATGCACTGTACTCTTTTGCTCACTTGGCTCTGGTGATGAAAACTCATCCAGACATTCAAATATCCTGGCATCACTATGCTTGTAAATGTTTGGTGGGCTGAGGGAAGCATTTGCTTGGCATGGGTGATTAACACAATTTTCTAAAGTGTTCTTCAATGTATTTCTAGTTTCTTTTTCTCTGCTGGAAGGAGTAAAATCTACATCTGAAAGATGAATGTTAGATTTAGAGAACGAAGCATGAATGCCAATTGAATCTTCTAGTGTCTCATCAATAGAGTCATTTTTGTCTTGCAAAATTTTAGAGTTTATGGAGATGGTATTGTGTAAAACACTTTCCAGATGGCTTGGTGAGATGTTTACCTCTTTTTCCTTGGTAAGGTGTGTATCTTTATTTGCAAACCTGCAGCACTTGCATTTATCTGCAGTTTGTTTTGTTTTATAAATGGGTGACTTGTTACAATCATGGGCTTCTTCGGTGTTCTCACTGAAAACTGATGCTGAAGACTCTAATTTTAGGTGCACTTTTTTGGAAAAAGAAAATGATACTCCTGTTCTGTGATTTGCATTGCTGAGATCTGAAGATGTTTGCGGTATCCGATTTCCAAACAAATAACACCTGTCTGCTTGTAATTGGTGTCGATTTGGCATGGTGGACCGCTGTTTATCGGAAATGATTCTAGGAAGATTTTTTCCTTTAAGGAGAAGTGCACTCTTCATGCATGATATCTTTCTGCCATTCTTAACGGGGAAAATTCCTTGCTGGAGTTGCTTTTCTATGGCTATCCTGGGGGCTTTGTATGCTGGTCCATTCCCAGAAACACTGTAAATACAATAAATATTTAAATGATTAAGATATTAGATTTTGAATCATATCTACATATGAAAGTTTTATAGTGTTTCTATGATGAGTTATTTTACAACTTATGAGCTACATCTTCTAAAATGTAATGTTTTGTTGTGCTTATATAGCTCAGCCTAAGTTTTATAGTGGCTGTTTCTAAAATGAATTGTTTATCTGCAGTATTTCGAAATTACCAAAAAGCAATAGCAAGTGAGTACTTACGCTAGTGCTACTAAAGCATTGACATCACCATATGTGTCCTCCAGAATCTATCAGTCTTTGGAATACAGATTTAACATTATTTCACGAATAGTTTTCCAATCAGTGCATTCATATTAAATAAGAAATTACTAGAATTAAAAGTCACTATAAAATATATAAATACTTCTTTAATTTGCTTTTATGTATTAGGTCTAACATTTTATAACATTTGGTTCCTCGGTTTTAAAATTCCCTCATACTCACTTCATTTTGAAACAAAGTGGTAAGTTCTTTCTATATGACTTGTCAGTAATTTGACTAACAACAATAATTGTATAATAAAATAAGACACATGTACAATCTATCTAAATATCATCAATGATTTTGAAATCTTTTCTTTTTCTTCTTACTTACCAAAATATTTTTCTACCATTTCTGTATTATGTTTTATCTTTTAAATATTTTCATAAGATTATCTACTGAGCTTCATTAGCAATTCAAACAGAAGACTGAAAATACCAACACATATAAGAGATAAAATTCTTTAGATTAAAATTATATGCACTTTCACAGTCTACCTATATACCCTCTACTATAAAAGAAGGCTTCACCAGAAAGAAGGCAATACCAATCACATGATTTTTCTTATTGTTGGCTTTGAACTGGCATTCTTTTCCTTTGTCTTGTTCCATATGCTTGGATGTGTTTGTTTGCTTATTTCTAATTCTGATTTTTATTTTACTTTCATCTAGTCATTTGTTTCTTGAATATAAAATGCTAAACCAACTAATATCTCTTCCTTATGTTGTTGATATTGTAACGGAGAGTAGTGCTTTCTAAGTCCTTGTTTAACAAATTCTTGTTGTTTTCTTTTATGATTATTTGGCCAATCAGCATAGAACTCTGGAGTCACATTCCTTTTGGCCACCAAACTTCATGCAATTTGCTTCACTGCCTCTATACGTATAATTACAGACATATTGAATTAGCCTCCTTTTATTTATCTCTGAAATGAATCTGCTTGTGTGCTTGTACGCTTTTCCCTTTTGAAAAAATGTAAAAATATAAATATATATAATTTATTACATTGGTTACATAAAAATGTATATATACATGTATATTAATATATGCATATATATGTATAATGTTTTAACAGAACATAGTTACAGGTTGATTTCTTTGGCTGAATTTTTACTAGTAGTTCTTGGGCACTTTCAAGTTAACTTTCTTCATTTCAGATATATTTTTTTCCTTGATTTCTCTGATTATTGCTTCCTTTGAAATTTATGTTTTAAAATCATTGGCTTCCTGAATATATCCTTTAGGTATTGATATTTATTTCAGTACCTTACTCTATCTTCAGTCTTTTGCTGTAGTTCATGGAGAATTTCTTTGATTTCATTTCTATTTCACTGACTCAATGTTTTACAAAATTTAATCTGTTTACAAATTATGGCCATATGGATTTTAATTTGTAAACAATAATTTTAGTCACCATTCAGTTTTGAATGATTTTAGATTGTCTCATCTTCATGAATTAATGGCTGTAATTTTAGAATTACAGAGTTCCTTTAAATCTTGTAAAAAAGTAAATTTAGAAGTTTTTTAAAGCTATATTCTCTTCCTTACAGTAACTGTTTCATAATGTAAACTTCTTATTCATTACATTATTCTTCTTTTCTTGAGTCATCTTTTTATGTTCTTTAGAGAGGGGATATTAGACATATTTAATGAGAGGAATAGTGAAGAGCATTCTAAGATAGTATGTGGGTTACTGAATATTTCTTTCAAGCATAAAAGTAAAAAAGGAGCATAGAGATTTTATTAGAACATTATTGGTCTTTGAAAGTACCTCCAGCCTGAAGATAAAAGGAAGTGATCCAGAAACAGCTGCAGTGTTCAACTTTGCCTTGGCACCAAAGAGATTATTTTCCATATTTGTAGCTACAATTTGGATTAAGTAGGAATTATGCTTCTGAATTAAGTTAACCTTCTCCAGAAACTTCAATCAATCTGACATTATCAGCTGTATGAAACTCAGTCAAAATTATTCCATAAGTCTGATGTATGGATATTATTGTTCTTCCTTTCCCAATTATATTATTATGTGTATATTTTAGTATCTATATTATATTATATATATACTTTTCTTAATAGTACTTTTGCTGATTATTCTCACACTGTTTTATTCCTTTTCTTGCTTTATGCTAATCTAAATATTCTTTTCTGTACTGCTGTTTTATTTTACCATTTATCTCTCTAATGTGCAAGCTTCTTCCTTTTACATTCCTTTAAAATTTATTTGCTCTTATTGTTTTTGTATTATAGTGTGCTCTAGCTTCTTGTCCTTAATTCTGGTTCTCATTTTGCAATTCAAATTGCTTTAATAATTACAGATTTTTCACAAGTTTCAACCTTTTGTCCTTATTGTTAATCTTTGATACTTCTTATTTTTATTCTTTAAACTTTTTATCTTGTTGCTTTATTGACTTTAATTTCCTTTTTCTTAAATTACAGCTATTATTATTTTAGAAAATGTTTTTATCTTTGTAGTGTTTCAAATTCTATTTTAATACAAGTTTATGTATTATAATATTATTAAAGCTTTAACATTTTCCAGCTTAAATGAGATATAACTGGAAAATGAAAATTTTATATATTCAGGGTATTCAATGTGATCATTTGTTGAATGCATACAAATTTGCACATCTGTCATATACATAGTTATCATTTTGTGTGGGATAAGGACACCAGATTCACTCTCTTGGCAAATTTCAAGTAAACAATACAGTATTATTAGCTATAGTAATCATGCTCTACATTAGATCCTCAAAACTTATTCATCTTTCATGGAATGTTTACAAACTTTGACCAATACCTTCCAGTTTCTCCCACCAGCCAGTCCCTGGAAACCACAGCTCCATTCTCAATGAAGCTTTAATTTTTATAGTTATCTCCACATGTAATATTCCCCTCCCTTCTTTGGAATTTTATTTCTTTAGTTTTTTAAATATTTTCTTATCTATTTTAAAATAACAGTTAATAAAATGTCTGTAGAGTTAGGCTTTTAATTCTTATTAATGGATTATCCATTCAAATTTTCCACCAAAAATTCTAATACTCTACAACTTAACAAATGCACAATTTGATTCTCTCCTGTTCAAAATGTATCTTTTCCAAACAGAACAAAAAACATATCAAAGCAATATGAATTCTTTAAATTGTGTCATTTCTTAATGATCCACATTATCCAACTCTTATATGAAAACCTTCATATGAAGTTCTTATATGAAGTTTTAATTTTAAAAATTTTAAATGACACCATTTAAAGAATTCATAGTCCCAGAATCAATAGCCTTAAAATTTTTAAATTTTGGAAAAATTTCATAGCAAGATGTACTATACTTAGACATATATATATGAAGTTCACTTACAGAGAGTGACTATCCCTTCACCTGCATATAATAACTGCTATTGCTGAGGAAACAGGTTGGCTGGAACTACTTAAGAGATGGCCAAATTTGACGATGATTTATAAGATCTTTCTGGGTTTTTTTTTTTTTGCCATCATTTTATCAAGAATCTGATTCTAATATTCTCTCTACCAGTAAATTTACCACTCTTCTCCCAAAGGGTCACAGAAGAATTTTGTTATCTGGATCATCCTACTCAGAAGTCCTTATTATGAGGAAAAACGGCAAAGAAAGATTGTCCAGGAGAAGGGTAATGCCAACGATTTTTTTTCTATTTATTTTATTTTTAACTTTCATTTGTCAGTTTAGCTACCAAAATAAAGTATTTAATAATCCTGTTCATTGACTTTTCTTCAGTAATGAGGACGTTTAAGCAGAGAGAGCAATTGGCTAAGAGGCAGGTGTTGGGTAGCAGAAAATTTAAAAAATAATTATTTTCCTAGTTTCACGCTGTGTCTAGAAAGCTGAACACTTGTCTTTTCTCTAACAATATGGACACACTGTGACCTAGAGAGCGTGCCTATTTTATAAAATCACCAACAAGATGTGGTTAGGTTTGTGTTTGTTTGGTGAATAAGGTTTCCAGAGGGACAGCTGAAACTTAATAGGGTGGACATTTTCATTTGGAAGAAGCTGAATGGGTAGCTCTGGCAAACTTAGAACTTCTAAACAAAACATCATCATCACCATCATTATCATTATCATCACCACCATCACCACTGCCATCATCAAGGCGCCTCTGATCCTTCGTTATTTACCCCAGAGGAAAATATTGAATGAGTAAGCGGAAATGTAGAAGTGTGACAACTTTCATAATGACTAACAACCAAAATTATATCTGTTGAGACTATTTAGATTTACTGTTGTGGCCTTTAGGTACCTTTCTACAGATGTATCTCTATGGTAGGACTATGGTAGGGCTTGTCCCACTTATTATGATCTGACTTATTGCATCTCATCATTAATCACTCAGGAATTGACATGTTCACTAGATTTTATTCCTGCATCCTACCCTAACAACTATAGAAATTTTCTTTCTAAGCCCTATTTTGGCAAGGACTGTCTGAGTTCTTATTGACAATATGTTTGAATAACATATGATAAGTCTTTCATTGTATTGGCTGTGATTTCTCATTTATTTTAAATGTGATTATCTTTTATGTATTTGCATAAACTAATTAGATTATTCTAAGAGTTACAAATACATAAATACATGCAAGCTGAATACTAATTGTATTTTTACTCATAATTGGTCTTACAAAAATAAATGATTCCCTAGAATTACATTTTAAGTCTAATATTTTGTGGTAACTAATTCAGCCCTAACTCCTGTTTATTACGTATTACTTTCCATTTAAGCAACAGGGGTTTAAATTCTGGCACAAGGGCATAAATTTCACAATTCATCAGGTTGCTGTCAACCACATTAATTAGCTATATTAGTGTTTTATATGATGATTCATATGAACACAAATCACAATCTGCAAATTTAATTGCATTCCAGGTAACAACTTTGAAACATCAAGTGGTTCCAAGCTTTCATAAAACTGCTATTTTTCAGCTACAAGAATGTATTAGTATAAAGCTTGTTATAATTATCAATTTAAATGGCACTGTGTGGTAAACTTAACTGTATTAATTACAGCTTGTTTGTCAGCCAGACAATGATAGTGTTATTTACACTAGACTCAGGTGTGTAGACGAAAATGGTCAGAAGACTTATTCCCCAACCCCAAAATGCATTGTTATTTATGATTTTTAAAATTATTATAAAATTTAAAAAATATATTGAGAAACAATGTTAATCCATTGAGTCATCTGAATAGAATAAATGCTAATGTATTTGAATCATTCTGGGATCATTTCATTATAGAGTACATTAAATTAACAATATTAGGAAAGAAAAATATCAAAGACCAAAAGTAATTAATTTATGAATGTTTAACTGTATTTGCCTAACAGACACATCTGTTAGTTAATTATTATTTGTTTACATTGTTACAATAGATTTGCCTTTAAAATTTCCCAGTAGGTTGAAGAGAGTTTTGCACTATCCCAGACACCTTTCTTACCATTCAGATTGCTGCCTTAACTCAGCCAACTGATGAAGTCGTTTAAGTGCTTTTTCTTGTTTCTTTTCATCTTTCCAAGACTTAGAAGCTACATTTCGAGCAAATTCCCGTTGCTTTAATTCTTTAAGTCTCTGTGGAAAAAGAAGAAAAACCGAAAAGGTACTATCAATAAATAATGTGTTCTTTTCTATCTACAAGGCTGCTTCTTATTCTTTATCTTAAGTGCAGAGGTGACTTTCTGGACAGAAAGAGTAAAAGTATCATCTCCGTTGTTACTATTCTCTGCTCCAAGATACATTTAACAGATAAATGTAGTTGTCAACCAGGTCATTTTTCCAAGCTTGTCACAGTCACTGCAAAAATGTGCTGCAAAGCTGGACCCCAGGCCTTGCTGGTATCACCCTGGCTATGCAACTATAATAATCTGTGTGCCTGTAAAAACACAAATGGGAAAAATGTGCAATATATGAATGAGTATAAAGGGAGGCACGTTATGAGATGCATGTTCCTCCACCCACCTGCCCCTCACTTGTAAAATTGATGCTATTAAATACACTGGGTGGAATGAGTTTGTTTCAGGAAACAGCATCTGTTACTGTGAAAGATTTTAGTTCAAAGCTCTAAATGTGATTTTGAACTCATTTTTTTGGATGGAGATATTTATCAAATATATATTTCTATATTGTATCCAGGAAGACAGAAAAATGGGTCAGGAATTCCAACTCAGAATAGAGGCATGATCCTGCTTGATTTAAGTTAATCCACCACTTATTTTAATTAATATTTTCTCTAAAACAATTGACTTATGTGCAAGTTGGATCTTTTCTTTAGAATCTGCCACCAAGCACAGCTAATTATATTGAATGAACTGAGAAATAGCCAAAATCAAAGGAACCTCTTGAAGTTTGGGGTTTAATCTTGAATTGGAAGTGTATTTAAAGATTATCCTCTCTTAACTCATACAAAGTGATTTTAAACAGTCTAAAATCTGTGTCTGTTGAAATTATTTTCATTTCCTATATCAAGTATAAGAGATGTTTCCCAGGTATGGAGAAAACTATACAGTTATCATGTGAGGTAATAATACTGTAGCTGACTGTTACAGAGCCCAGGACAAAACCTTTAATGATCATTAGCTTCATTCTTTAAAGGAAACATGCTCATGGGAGACAGTGGTCAGATAACAACATCTAAACTAAGGATTTGAAGGAGACAGATCAGTCTTTCAAAGAGAGAATATTCTGAGCACAAAGAACAAGAACCTCCCAGAATTAGAAACAGCTACAAGTAGAACAGTAGACTCAACCTAAATTCAATTTTTGACAAATACTTCAAATCCTTCAAAAAAATTGGAAAATTTCAAAAAAATAGAATTCTGCTCTATATGTTATTAGAAAAAAAGATCAATTGTTTTCTGGAAATTATAAACAACAGATGATCTGAGCATTAAAGAGTGGATAGCCTTGGTCAGAAGACAGGAAGAAAGGTTTATAAAATCCTTATTGCTATGTACCCTCTGACTTACTTCCTCCGACCCCATGTACTTGAAAGCCTAGTTCTTAGAGTGAAGGCTTGTCTTACAAGCAAAGACCTTTAGGAAATTGTCCTGCATGATTTAAGAACACACACAAACTATAGTTCAATTTGTCAGAGAAAATTGCTATTTTAGAAAAAAGGAAAGAGTTTATTTTATACTGTGTTAATACTGAATAACAATACTTCATATTAGATTTATTTAATATTAGGTATTACCAGCATACAAAACTTGCACAATGCAGAGGAGGAAACTGATTCATTTACTCACAGTAATTGACATTTCACTCACTTTTGAAATCTTGTTGGAAAATTTGGGGTACTTCTGTTTCTTTTATTAGCCTTCTAGATTCCAGGACTATACTTTTGAGTTATAGAAATGATTGAGACTTTTGTATTGTTTATCTAACAACAAATATTGTCAATTACTACTGTGTTAATCCATATTATTCTTACTATGAAGTGTAAAAATGTACAAATCAACAAATAATTTTTTTTTCTCTTCAAGGAAGACAGACAAATGTTTATACTTCTGTAAGGTAGTGCTGACTTCTTAATAAGGGTGCACACAACATGTTTTGGAAACATACAGGAATAGTTAAAAGATAACTGTGTTTAGGAAGTTTGTAAAGTTAAAATGTTTTTAAGGAGCACAGGAAGCTGGAAGAAGAGATTTTGTTTAAAGACATCTAGCTACAAATTTGGTTTAGCCAGTGCTGAGTGCTCAAGTTTGAGTAGAGAAAAAACCCCAGAGATCTGCCTCAAGTTTTCAGTATACTGATCAATGCGTATGTGTGAGAAAACTGTTCCAGTTTAGGAAAAAAATCATCTGAAGAAGTTTAATAAAAACAGCATCTAGCATTCATGAATAGGGGCTGTTTTTACCAACAAAACTGGAAGAACTCATGGGACATTAAATAGATAATTCAGAAAAGCCATGCTTCAGTAGAGAATAATTAGCAATAGATTGAGTACCACTTTACAGTTGCTTAAGAAAATCACAAAAGCAAGAAATAAAAATATAGCGCTGACTCCAGGTAACTTAGCTGAATCACAGAATAAAACACTAGGGTATGTATAGCAATACAAATATTATCCAACAAAAATGAGAAAAAGTAATAATATCTTGCATCCAATTAAATATTATCAGGCACGTAATAGCAGTTAAAACTGGTCTGTAAGTTAAAGAAAAATATACTATAAACTCTACAGCAGTCATTAAAATGATAAAGTGTTTTAGCCAGGAGGACAACAAAGGAGATAAAAGAAAATCATTAAACGTACTCAGTGCAAGAAAATGCGAAAAAAAAGAAAAAAAAAAAAAAGAAAAACATGGTAGACTGGACAATTATAAAATAAATAGCAAGATAATTAATCAAATCTAAAAATAATAATACATTAGATGTAAATGGTCTAAACACCAAAATTAAAGACAGAGAGTATTCATTTGGATAAAAGTGTGAGGTCCAACCCTGTTGACTGCACAAAAAAGCTTTTTTAAAAGTGAGGACAAATGAACTAAAAGAAAAGAAAGTAAGAGCATATATTATGTCAACACTAGTCAAAACAAAGCTAGAGGGGGCCATATCACTTTAAGACAGATTGGATCTCAGAGCAAAGATATATTACTAAGAATAACGAAATTTTCTTCATAATGATAATGGAGCTTTAAAATACACAAAGCAAAAAATGGATACCACTGCACAGAGAAAATAAAGGGACAATTATTATAGAATGTTTCAATGTCTTGCTATTAAACATCAATAAAATACTGGAAAAGGTCACACCAAAGTGATTATATCTGTTATCAAAGACCCTTCCAAAAGTGTGTTTGTCTGATGAAAAGAGGACTGTCAATCACTGGACATATGGGGAGGACTTCTAAGAATCCAGAGGCCAAATTTTGCCAGCGTCATGCTTTGGCTTAGCCCAAGTTTGATTTTGCTCCTCTTGTTCTGACAAGAACTCATTTAATTAAGCCATGGCACATACCATGATTGTCAGTAACCTTCCTCCATTTAAAGAGAAAATAAATCATTTGGGAAGAAAAGTGTTCTCTAAGGGTGTGTAATGAATCAACTCTTATTGAGAACAGCACATGGCATACATATTTCATGAAAAAAAATGATACTTTACACATCTACACAGAATAATGGGAAAGAAAATATGGTATTATGTAAAGCAGGTGGTAAAGAATGTATCTGTTTTATTACCTTACAGTCTAGGTAATAAACAAAGAGGTAGCATAGGTAAGATTAGAACAATACCTTGCATTCTTATCCTTTAATGATAAAGGTAGATGGCAACAAAGTAAAGAAAACTAAGTAACATAATTGTGATACAAATGTGTTATGTTTTTAAATACATTTTGCATCTATTGAAAAGAATCACATTATTAATTTCTATTTACTTATGTAGTAAATAACTTCTATTTATTTTATTGTGTTAAACTTTGCATTCATAGGATAAATACTGCTTGGTTTTTATAATATCATTTTGAAATATTGATGAATTTGATTTGCTAACATTTATTATGAACTTTGCATCTATGTTCATGAGTGATATTGGTCTGTATTATCTTTTAAAGTTCTTGTGTCATTCTAGTATGGTTTTAGTCAATTCAGACTGCTATAACAGAATACCACAGACTAGGTGGCTTAGCTAACAAACATTTTATTTCTAATAGTTCTGAAAGCTGGGAAGTTCAAGATCAAAGAGCCTGCAGACAGATTCTGTGTCTAGTTAGAAAATTCTTCCTGGTTTGCAGATGGCCATCTTCTTGCTATATCCTCACGTGACCTTGGCCAGAGAGAACAAGCAAGCTCTCTTGTCTTATTTGTAAGCACACTAATCCCACTCATGAAGGCTCCACCCTCATGTCCTAACCGCCTTCCAAAGAGTCTACTTACCTCCTAATACTATTACATTGGGGGTTAGGATTTCAACATATAGATTTTGAGGGAATATAAACTTTCAGTCTGTAACAAGTACCATGGTAATAATGGCCCAATAAAATGAGTTAGAAAGCATTTCATCCTCTATTTTCTAAATGACTATACATAAAATTAATATTATATATTTCTTAAGTACTAGAGTCACCATTGAAGTCATGTTTTCCTGGAGTGCATTTACTGGTTGTTGTTGGAACTTGTTAAAACATGAATTCAGTTTATGCAAGATACATAAGACAAAACATATTTGTTATTCTTTGAGTCAGTTTTAGTAATTTGTTTCTTTCAAGGATGTTTTAAATTTTATCTAAATTAGCTGGTATAACATTGTTCCAAATATTTTCTTTTTATTCTTTTAATATTTGAAGCATCTAATGCAATATTTCTTCATTTAAACCTGATATTGGCAATTTGTGTATTCTATATTATTCACCAGTCTTCCTAGTGATTATTTTATTAATATTTTAAAAGAATGAGATATTATTTAGTATGCTTTCTATAATATCTAAATATTTATGAATTTTCTAGAGAGCTTAATGTTACTAATTTCTATTTTAATATTATTTTGATCAGAGAACATATTCTGCATGATGTCAGGTCTTAGACAGTTACATAAATGTTTACTTAGATAGTTATAGAAATGTTTG